TCTCTTTGGATTTGAGACTTTAGTCTTTGCAACTTTACAGATCTTCTTTATGCACCAAGAGCTTGTAACACTTCAAAGAGAAAGGAAAAATTTAAATTGCATCATATGACCCCTTTAAAGCAGAAGCTCGTTGAAGCAGGAACCTTTGCTTATTTTGACAAGAAGGCACCGACCAAGATTATTGCAGATGTGAGTCCGGTAGACATCGGGGCTGTGTTGATTCAAGAACATCCAAATACACAAAATAATGTTCTTTTTAGCAACATCATATGACACCTTTAAGCTGGCAAAAACTATAATTCTGCTGTATAGCATTATTGCGACTGTAGACTTACAATACCCTTAACTGTTTATAACCTTAACAATAATCTTAACACTTAACAAAAATATCACTTTGAACTTATACTAGTTCAACTCTTACTTAGTATAAAGGATACAGATTCAGGTGATCGATGCTCAGCTGAGGTAGTACACAGCAGGTTACCACAACAGTGTTTCCACCACAAACACTCCAGTTCACTGGTTGAAGTGTAGGTGCACCCAGGGTGTCATACATGTAGAGATTCCTAGGTCGCCTGTTTCTGGCAGTTCTCCTCATAGGTTCTGATGCAAAGTCACCCTCTTCATGTTCTGCTTTTCCTATGGATCCTTCTTCCAGCTCCTGATCCCCTTGAAAATCTCCCACTACCTGTTCATCAGACTCCTCTGGGTGCCCCTCCAGGTCAGGTAGGTTTACAGATTCGTCAGCGATTTCTTCGATGTCAGGTTCCTTCTCAGGTTTTCGGTTTCTCTCCCCTCTTCTAGGATGGAATTCTGCTGCACGTGGATCCAGATCTGTTCCTGTTCTCTGCGTTGGAACCCATAAGTCAAACTCCTTGTCGCTGGAACTGTCGGTGCTGTCATGGTGAGTATTCCATTGTGGTTGTGCTTCATGTTTTGACCTGTTCCTCTAACCTCCTTTTCTTTCCAGAGGAACATCAGCTGTCCTCCGCTCATCAAAGTTCTCCCTCCTCAAGCAGCTCTCTCACTGGTCTCACCTCTGCGTTAGGAAGATGTCTCTTCTTCCACTCTGTACCCACAATTGAAACTTGTGACCCTGTGTCCCACAGCACCGATGGTTTCTAATACCTCCTAGAAAACATTGTACCATGCATCTGCGTCCCACCAAACTGGCTGTTTTCTCTTGTTTGGTTAACCATGGTCCTTCAGGTAAGTGATCTCTTGGTAAGTTTTCCATGATGTCTGAGGTAATCTCAATCTTGTTTGACGTCACACGGGTCGCAGTTAGTTTCTGACAGCCCGCTGCCCAGTGCTCACTGCTGCCACACTTGTAGCAGTGTTCACATCTTCCCTCTGGGTTGGACTGCTCACATTGGGTGCAACGTCTGGTGTTTGCTCGTGCAGGTGGAAATTGATTACGAGTGAATCTCTGGTTACCTCTTCTGACTGTCTGAGGTTGTGATATTTGAGCAAGGCTTGCCACTTGAGAAGTCAGGCTCTGGATTGCTTCACATATCACTTTATCCCATGCATCCAGCTTTTCCATCAGGTTGTTAGGCTTTGGAGCATTCTCTTCCTTTGACTGACACCTTTATCTTGTCCAGCATGTGTCTGTTCCTCCTCACTGACTGTGGCCACCTTGATGCTCTTGGGTCGAGTAATTGAGAACTTGGATTTTCTTTCAAGCTCAAGACTATATGACATGTTCATTTTCTCCAACAGCACTTCATCTTCCACCAGTGGGTTTTCCAGGTGGGGTTTCAGATCTGTGCGTATGCTGTCATCATGAAGGCCGTCAGGACTGTTGGTAAAAACTGATTCTGGATTAATTCGTGATTGTATTTTAATCCTGTCTTTACATTTTCAGATGCTGACAAAATCCTCTGTCTGAGATCCATGGCTCGGACTAAGAACTGTATAGGTGTTTCTTTGGGTTCTTGGACTGCACGTGTGAGTGAGTGATACAATTCTGTTGCATCCTTTTCAATAAAATGTGCTCTGAGAATGTGTTTAAGGACAGGCAATGTTAGATCTGTTCTACTCTCCAGATAACTTCTCAAACTGACACCTGGGATGATAGCTTGAATGACTGCCTCAACAATTTCTCCCTCATCATAACCTCTTTTGCATGCCCTGTGGGTCTGTCTGTCCAGGCTGGTAAAGTTTAATTTGTCTCTCTGACCAGATTCACCATTTTGTACAATTATTTTGAGTTATTTTTTATACACTGGATGCATTAGTGACATTTTCTCCTAAAACAGATACATTTTGCATTTTTCTGTCTGTTTTGGCACATTCTGATTCTATTCCCGTGATGTTCACAGGTTTTTCTAGTGCAATTCCCATAACCCCCACAGGGTGGCACTCCAGGCCAGCTTTTCGCTGCCCCTCGGTGCTTGTTTCACACTCTACACTGGATGAGCTATCAGTTTCCTCCTTGTCTTAATTTATCAAACTGTCAATTTTCTCCTTTGTATCTCCTTAAAAATATAGATAGTCCTTCATCTTCAATTACCACAACATCATCTCCCTCTAAATGCTGCAGAATGCGTCTTCTCAGCTTTTCACCCTCCCTCACATTTAGCTTGAGCATTTCACATAAACTTCTCAGTTGCGAAGTGGATACCTTGAGTAATTTACTCTCAATTTCATCCAGCGTAGCTTCCCACACAGGCAACATTATGGCCACTCACTGAACAGACTCATGTAACTCATGTATGCAGTCATTTTTCGCCCGTTTCACGGTCCTCTCTTTCCGTGACTCTTTCCCCTCGCGCTGCACTCGCGGCTCGTTTCATCACTCGCTGGCCACTCCGTTGCCGTGTTTGCTTCTTTCTTCCTCCTGAAATCCGTCACACACTGAGCAGAAACACTAGTTTTATGTTGCCCCCTTGGACAATAATGATGACAACCTTTGCTTTTCTGTAGATTTATTCGCCTGGAGGTTTTTTTCTTTTTGTTTTCTGCAACAGATTTGGGGCTGCAAGCTTTAACACAAACAACATGCGTTAACTGCCCTTCTTCTCTAACCTTTTTACTCACATGTCTTTCTTCACACGGCGCCCCCAACAGTATACATATTTTTCTTACGTCTTCTTTATATTATCCCCTTTACATTATATTAGTGCAAATTATCTACAATAAACAAAGAAATTAAACCAATTAAACAATTCTTTGAGGTCATTACATGTGCACGCT